AGTAGTCCTATCATCTGTTGGTGATATTTGTCGACGCTTGTTATGTAAGTTCTGCTTCCACTGGATCAAAAGTGTCAAGACTCCACAGTCCATCATAATGGCTCAACTAAACTAATGAAGTAATAATACTGAAGTTGCCAGTAACAAAATTGATGTCATGCTGAAAAGTTGAACTGACCTCGAGCTGCATACCAACAAAGAAAATGTATGTTTTGAAAACATGCAATGAATTGCTTACTTTTTCCAGATTAAACTTATTAGGTTCTGTTTTCCTGTTGAGGTAACGCATTATCGTGAAATACCCGTTACAGTAAATAGTATAGACAAAAAGACAAACACAATATTCATACTTTGTACGATAGTTTAATGAAGCACATACTGTGCCACACCTCTCCAGTGTTGTAGACTAACAACAGAGAGACAATAATCTCACATCATGTCATGGTTTATTAACATAATATACAACTGTGTCAGTCATCAGAAACCAAGGCAGGACATCTACCCTCAACAAGAAATATATCCTTCCTACGAAGATCATTTACCCTCAGCAAGAAATGCATCCTTCCAACCAAGAACATTTACCCAGGCAAGAAATACATCCTTCCACCGCAGGACATTTACCCTAACAAGAAATACATCCTTCCAACCAAGAACATTTACCCCCAGCAAGAAATACATCCTTCCACCGCAGGACATTTACCCTAACAAGAAATGCATCCTTCCAAGTAAGAACATTTACCCTCAGCAAGAAATACATCCTTCTAAGGAGGAACATTTACCCTACACAAGAAATACATCCTCCAATACTAGTTTAAGTTACTTTAGTTGAACAATTGAAGGTGAATTAGTTCTAGCATCCTTGAATTCTAGTTTATCGGCTCTAGCTAAAGAATCATTAAATAGAAAAGTAAAGTCTCTGGAAAAGGCTTTAATAGGCAATGCCTGTGCCTAATCCATTTGTGTCTTGAATGCAATAAAATTGATTTGAAATGAAAACAAGTAAAACATGAACTAGCCTTGTAGAATACTGCAATACTGTGTGGTTTTAGAATACTGGTAAATTGACTGAATGGACTAAATATAGCATCATGTCTATTCTATTACATTAGGGTTAAATACTTATAATCTACTCCTAGTAGAAGTTTATGTCTCAACCCTTTCACCCCTGTGTAACTTTAGTAGACCCTACCATGCATTGATATGGACGAGTCCATTACGGTCTACAGTGGTGAAAGGGTTACAGCAATATGTGTACAAAATGCTTAAACCATATTGAGAAATCTTTCAACAGAGAGATGAGAGCTACATGACCTGTCCGCATGTCTGTAGGTCTGGTTGGTTTATCCTTACAATGTACCAACCTAAAGTGGACACCGTATGATCAGGAAATTTCAATTAAGTCAGAGTTTTCACCCTTAATCCATGATATTACAACAAATAAAACACTCCTTCTTACTGCATGCCAATCAACCTATACAAAAACAAAATTCCTGTCTCGCCACTGATCTGCCCACAGGTTACCTGCCTCGGACAGGTAAGTTTACAGGTAAGTCCCTAGACAGGTAAACTGACACTAATTTAGGTAAACAGACAAAATCATTCATCCAGGCAGTACACACAATATTCAATCAATGTTTCTTGCATATCTTTCCAATACAAACTTCAGGAAAATATTAGGATTCTCTCTGACAAGTTATTACAATAACATTAATGCTAATATTATTATGTTACTTAAGATGTTGACTAATTATGGAATTTCAAGACTTAATCTCCAATTAAAACCAGGTGGTTTGACAGGAGTGACAAAGCTTTATCAAAACAGGTCAATGTCCAAAATCAGAGGACAACATTTTTCTAAAAAAAAAAATTTTTTTTTTTTTTTTAAATTATTATTCGAGCAATGGATATGAAAACAAAAATTCAAGTTCTACAGTTCATAGAAAACTGTTTGTCCATAAATACGTGGTGTTTTTCTTTACTGTGTGTCGGAGCAAAAAACTTGGCACGAGCCCATAGTTCTATCAGAAAAATACATACTAAAGCCTTCGTAACTCTCCCATTAAACCCTCAGGGACCAGGTGTGGTGTTTGGCATAGAGTTATCTACCCCTGGGGAGTAGTGCACTAACGTTTAATTACCTCCTCTTAGTATCTCTGGAGAGTTGATACCTTAGTTACAAGATTATGAATGATCAGCCCAGACATTACCGGAGTATCAGTCAACTTGGGAGAGGTCAGTTCTATACCAATCATTGTGTGTGGCGATGACCTGAGATTTATCATAAAACTTGTGGGGGGCTCTAAAATATGATCAGATCCCCCAGGCTGTGAGTAAATGATGAGCTGATGACAGTTCATTGTGGAGAAAGCTGATACAGATCGATAGCTAAATTGCCTACACCTGTTACAACTAATGTACCGGTAGTACACAGTGCATGTAGGAACTGACCTTTCCAAAGCACCTTGAAACTTTCACCCACTTTCAGACCCAATTTACACAGAGGGCAAAGGGAGGTAGATCTTATATAATAACAGTAAACACACTGGTAGTAAAAAGTTGACCTCCCCACTGATAAATAACACTAATACCTGTCTCCAAAGCTTTCTCTAGTAGTGGATGTAGAAAGGGGCCCTCTCCTATCACATCATATTATCAAGTAAAATGACACACCTCGGTTTATCTAAATTCTATAACCTGTATCCTAGTCGACAGAGAATTATGGACATAGATCTGTGTGGCAGAAAACCTGAAGCCACGATATATTGGCACATCTAAAATTTGGAGACAGCTGTCCTATTGAAAAACATTTTTAGCATTCAGATAAAAACCTTTGTTTTACCACTATATTTGAGGAATTGGAAGACTTAATTGAATTTTTCTGATTGCATATATATATATATATATATTTTTAAGGAATAATATTACGTTTTGAAATGTGATGATAACTTTAGTAGTAAAGAAAAATAATGAGGTAAGATATTGATCAACAGGATGCCTGAAGGTGCCTGCCAAGTTTTCATTAATTTATGTTCAAACATTGACCTGCAGCTTTTAACCCTCTCACCCCTATATAACTTTAGTAGACTCTACCATGCATTGATATTGATGAGTCCATTATGGTCTACAGTGTTGAAAGGGTTTTAAGGAAATCTAAGTAAAAGTAACCCTTGTGTGGTACTTAGACTAGCACATCGTCATCAGCAAAACATCAAAGCATGGAACAAAGGGAAGTAACTCTGTTATTATAGCTCATATCTGATGAAAATGAAATGTTGGTTTATTTCACGCAAAAAAAATACTGAATACTTGAGGTATGGGTTGTAAATTTACTGTTACATCAACAATGTTGGAAGCAAAGCTTAAATAATAATACTCTTCAATGAGCATGTTAAGTGATGGCGGCATCAACATGAAAACAATTAAAGATGTCATTCATTCATATTTCATTGCAAAATTATAGCCAGGATAATGGTGAAGAAAGTATGGTATTTTTTGCTGAACAGGTGATTATTTATCTTACTTTTTTATGTATGATCTACATCGTAACACAGCAACCACACAATGCTATCATTAACGCCATACCATCAGTGAGAACTGAAACTGTGACTTTGACCAATATGACAGACTCAAAAAACTCACATACTGTTCGGTCATCGTTTAGTATTCTTACTTACAAATTATGCTTAATATGAACACACTATTAGGGTACCCTGGGTATTGTCATAAACATATTTTACTGTAAATGATATATGATGACAACTTTTTATATTCAATAAAAAAATATGCAATGGATAAAATGGAAAACAAAAATGCATACCCTGAAGGTAAAACATATTTCAATGTTGAGTTGAATGAGGACTAGATAGCGTGCCCTCCATCTCTGTGGTTGAGGTGGATGGTCAGATCCAAAGGAGTTCAGAGAGAGGACAGCCAATGTTGCTGCCATGTTTGTATATATAATTCTAGTACATGTATATGTTTGTCACAGACCCCCCAGCCCTTAAAGTGTTAATACCGGTAGGGATCTAAAACGTCATGATAACAAGCAGAACACTCCTATTCAATCTTTATATATGGCCCTTCTTTAAAATAAAATTTTACTTAAGGAAAACTTCCCAGCCTACAAAAAGAGCAGATTGTTCTTTTTGATAAAAGAGAAATTAAGATGTTCCTTAACTTCCTTTTCAAATTTTGTTAAAATCTGATATTTTTAAATACAGCTATTTTAAAATCTTTTTTAAATTAAAATTATTTTTGTTTTACATTTTTTTCCTTGATCTTCCAATAACTTTTACAATTAGTAAACATACCTAAAAATATATACATATTAAAGTTTAAAAAAGGAATTATATAAATGAAGTTAAATAGAAAAATACAACACAATTTTTTGTTTCATTTCTTTTACAAAATGTCCAGTCTTTTGAGGGCTTTTCAATAGTTGAAGTGTCAATTGTCATTCTAAAATGTACCTAACTTTGCTGACAATAAACACAAAATCAAAATGAAAGTTAACTGACTACTCATCCGAATTATTTAGAAAATGACATCCTAAACAAACATATAATTTAGTCTGTCATATTTAAACATATTCAGGTGATGGAGACATAAAACGTTTAAAACAAAATATGTATGCCAACCAGAGTTACTTCCCTTCCTCCATTTTTAGTCTCCTAGTAGAACAGAGTATACATCATGTTCTGATAGGAAAGACTGTTTTATTGGTGTTTCAGGTAGAAGCTGTTGTTATTGTGCAGATATACAGTTATTTCTATTATGTTGTTTGTTCTAGTAACACCTGTTGTTTATGGAGAGAAGCCGGTGTTTCTAACTTGTTGATGTTTGCCCCTCCAGTAAACCAGGGGCCAGTTCAAATTCGTTTATGCGGAACAACCGGTTTGACCGTTTATAAATGTAACAATTTCGGGTATAAATCCTGGCGGACCTGCAAATGTTTATGCATGCCTTGCAAGGCTTTGTCAAGGCTCGCCTGAAAGCAGCATCAGATTACTAGGTCCGACCTTATCTAATAAACGAACAACAGTGGTCAGACCGGTTTGACCGTTTAAACGAAAACGGCGCAGTAGTTGGTTGGTGGATGCTGTTGTAGTGTGTTGTTGTCGACTTGAGTAGAACCAAATGGCTTCAGATGGACACTGTTGTTTACACCACATTGGCTCAAGTAAAACCAGTTGTTTACAACACATTGGCTCAAGTAAAACCTGTTGTTATTTGTAAATGAATGAGTGGACCCAATGTTCGATGAGAGATGATTTTGTTTCCAATACTGTTTTCAGTCTATGCCTTGGTTTCTGATAATTGCACAGTTGACAGACATTTATTGTATTTGGCGCATTAATAATGAGATTTTCCTCAGTCAACCCTATTAACTTCTGACCATGGAAAGGAAAGTTCCTTTGGGAAGTAATTGTTTTACATTGCATTATTTTCATTTGTCAATGTTCAGTAACCATGGTCAGCTTCAGATACACTTTTATCAAATCACTTCACTGGTCAGTGTGACCTTGCCAAGAGGTCAGTGTGACCTTGCCACCAGGCCTAGTCAGATACGAGACAGCTGATGTAGTAAGTTGGAAGGTAAGATCGCCTCCAGCTTCTCTAGGATGTAACTAATGGGCATATAAAGCCAGTTCAGCACCTGAAACATGCAAAAATATTTACGGTAAAAAAATGTGAGAATGTGAGAGGTTTTAGTTGTATAGTGTCCAAGTCCCTTAACCACCTCTGGCTAAACAGAATTTCCTTTTTGTCTGATAGTATAGTGTAATGGGAATAGTCCCCAACAAATGCCTGTATTTTTTAACTTCTTTTTTTTATATACAGGAAATAGTTACTGTACATCTCCAAGTCAACAAATCTCATAATGCATGTATCTTAAAATGTTTCGCTGACTTAGTTTAGGGGCCGGGATTGACTAGTTTGGTGATGGGGTTGTCAACTGGCTTGGATTTAGGGGCCAGAACTCATTGATTTAGTGATGGGGTAATTAGGGGCTACAACAAACTATTTTGGTGAAGTGATATCAATCGATTTTAATCTGGGGTTACTACTCACTGTTTTTGCGATGACACCCATTGGTTCTGGGTACTGATGTGTAAGAAGAGCTAGCAGAGCAGTAAAGGAACAGAGACCAGCTGTAAAGAGGATGAAAAACGGCAGCTCCTTCTTTGGATAGACAGAAACTTCATGATAAGCTGAAAGAGACAAAATAACGCGCTTATTTTTACAAGAATTTCATTTTTCTGGTTTTAAAAGTTTAGTCATTTCTAGGAACAAAGGTGTATCTAGTACATGATGAGATCAGGGTAAATATTTGTATTGTTCTGAATTACATTTGCTACTGAAAATAAAATAACAAGCAAATCACAATCTTTAATGTTCTCATTAAAGAGGTAATACTTCAGTGTCTTTTGCACTAAATCAAAAGAACTAAATCATATAATAATCATTGAACATACTATCACTTTGTTCTTAAATATCATAAATAGTTGAAGCAGGAAATTATGATCCACAAAAGTTGACAATTGTTACTGGTGTGCAGAGAAATTGACTGCTTTCATATATATACATTTCAAGAATATGTATGTTATCTGAAATATCATATACTTGTAATTTGTGTAAGAGTTACTTCCCTTGAACAAGAAATTTCCGCAGTCCTGTCAATGTATGCAATCTCTTGCATCATTAATTAATATCTGATTTGTATATAAGAGTTATGTCCCTTGAACAAGAATTTCCGCAGTCCTATCAATGTATGCATTCTCTTGCATCATTAATTAATTTCTGATTTGTATATAAGAGTTATATCCCTTGAACAAGAAGTCTTATCTAACAGAACTTTCAGTGGAACTCTTTGGGAATGGAGATACATGTCAAAATGAATAGCACAGAAAGCCTTTAATGGTCGATAACTTACGAGGAAGGAGTTCTCTGTCTGCACTTTCTGTACATGTGGGGTAGGGATAAAACAGATGGCCCTTCTCCAAGGGATAGGGAATCATCCTAAAAGCTGCAAACAAAATATTCAAAATATTGAATCCCAGTTTGATCAGTCCCATGAAGCAATAACTACGTAGCTATTTAAACATAGCTACTGGCACTTTCATTGCTACAAAACCCTGAAGATTTCATTTTTTTATTCTAAATATTTATATTTTATGAAATGAGAAATAATTCCACAATAGATATTTTTCAGTATTATATCAGTCAGAATTCCATTATTTATACATAAAATTCTATTAATTCTATGATGGGTACACTTACTGCCCTCCCATGTACAGTGTAACAGGTTTATTGCACCCTCGACTCGTTTCCAATGTTGAAGGTGGAAAAAGGCATAGGCTATTGCCTCGCTGTCTCCCCGCTTGAGGATGTGTTCTGGAGGTAAAATGAGGCTCTTCATCTCTAGTAAATACTGAAACAGGAACACAGACATACATCAACAAAAGTCAACAATTCAAACCTAGCATTTGTAATGTTCCTGTATTTATTATAATTTTATTTATTTCCAGAAATTTTTCAAGTACATGTACTGCTACAGTACTTTTACTCTTCTTTTTCAGCTAGGCTTCATACTGTTGCCACTCAGTACAGGTATAGAAGTTTATTACAGACAGCACCTCTAAACCTTTTGATTTTGAGATATCTTCTACAAATCAGTAATCCTTGAAAATTTCCCTATCTACTCCCTACCAACCATGTATACATGGAGGTTGAACCCTCCCCTCACTACCATTCTTGTATACATGGAGGTTGTATCCTCCCCTCCATACAAGTCTTGTATACATGGAGGTTGTCCCCTCCCCTCCCTACCAGCCTTGGGTACATGGAGGTTGTACCCTCCCCTCCGTACAAGTCTTGAATACATGGAGGTTGTACCCTCCCCTCCCTATCAGTCTTGAATACATGGAGGTTGTATCCTCCCCTCCGTACAAGTCTTGTATACATGGAGGTTGTACCCTCCCATCTCTACCAGTCCTGAATACATGGAGGTTGTACCCTCCCCCCCCTACCAGTCCTGTATACATGGAGGTTGTACCCTCCCCTCCCTACCAGTCCTGTATACATGGAGGTTGTTACCTCCTCTCCCTACCAGTCTTGTATATATGGAGGTTTTACCCTCCCCTCCCTACCAGTCTTGTGTACAGGGAGATTGTACCCTCCCCTCCCTACCATTCTTGTATACATGGAGGTTGTACCCTCCCCTCTCTACCAGTCCTGAATACATGGAGGTTGTACCCTCCCCTCCGTACAAGTCTTGAATACATGGAGGTTGTCCCCTCCCCCCCCTACCAGTCTTGTGTACATGGAGGTTGTACCCTCCCCTCCCTACCAGTCCTGTATACATGGAGGAATGAGGTTGTACCCTCCCCTCCCTACCAGCCTTGTGTACATGGAGATTGTACCCTCCCCTCCCTACCAGCCTTGTGTACATGGAGGTTGTATCCTCCCCTCCGTACAAGTCTTGAATACATGGAGGTTGCACCCTCCCCTCCCTACCAACCTTGTATACATGGAGGTTGCACCCTCCCCTCCCTACCAACCTTGTATACATGGAGGTTGCACCCTCCCCTCCCTTCCAGCCTTGTGTACATGGAGGTTGTACCCTCCCCTCCCTACAAGTCTTGAATACATGGAGGTTGTACCCTCCCCTCCGTACAAGGCTTGAATACATGGAGGTTTTACCCTCCCCTCCCTTCCAGTCTTGTGTACATGGAAGTTGCACCCTCCCCTCCCTACCAGCCTTGTGTACATGGAGATTGTCCCCTCCCCTCCCTACCAGCCTTGTGTACATGGAGGTTGTCCCCTCCCCTCCGTACAAGTCTTGAATACATGGCGGTTCTACCCTCCCCTCCCTACCAGTCTTGTGTACATGGAGGTTGTACCCTCCCCTCCCTACAAGTCTTGTATACATGGAGGTTGTACCCTCCCCTCCCTTCCAGTCTTGTGTACATGGAAGTTGCACCCTCCCCTCCCTACCAGCCTTGTGTACATGGAGGTTGCACCCTCCCCTCCCTACCAGCCTTGTGTACATGGAGGTTGCACCCTCCCCTCCCTACCAGCCTTGTGTACACGGAGGTTGCACCCTCCCCTCCCTACCAGTCTTGAATACATGGAGGTTGTATCCTCCCCTCCCTACCAGTCTTGAATACATGGAGGTTGTATCCTCCCCTTCCTACCAGTCTTGTATACATGGAGGTTGTACCCTCCCCTCGGTACAAGTCTTGAATAAATGGAGGTTGTATCCTCCCCTCCCTACCAGTCTTGTATACATGGAGGATGTACCCTCCCCTCCCTACCAGTCTTGTATACATGGAGGTTGTCCCCTCCCCTCGGTACAAGTCTTGAATACATGGAGGTTGTTCTATCCCCTCCCTACCAGTCCTGTATACATGGAGGAATGAGGTTGTACCCTCCCCTCCCTACCAGCCTTGGGTACATGGAGGTTGTACCCTCCCCTCCCTACCAGCCTTGTATACATGGAGATTGTACCCTCCCCTCCCTACCAGCCTTGTGTATATGGAGGTTGTACCCTCCCCTCCGTACAAGTCTTGAATACATGGAGGTTGTACCCTCCCCTCCCTACCAGTCTTGTGTACATGGAGGTTGTACCCTCCCCTCCCTACCAGCCTTGTATACATGGAGGTTGTACCCTCCCCTCGGTACAAGTCTTGAATACATGGAGGTTGTACTATCCCCTCCCTACCAGTCCTGTATACATGGAGGTTGTAACCTCCTCTTCCTACCAGTCTTGTATATATGGAGTTTTTACCCTCCCCTCCCTACCAGTCTTGTGCACAGAGAGGTTGTACCCTCCCCTCCCTACCAGTCTTGTATACATGGAGGTTGTACCCTCCCCTCCCTACCATTCTTGTATACAATGAGGTTATACCCTCCCCTCCCTACCAATCTTTTGTGTACATCCCTAATATTTACCAACCTTAGGTACATGGGGGTTGAACTCTACAGCTCTGTGTATGGCCTCGACGGCTGTCATTTCGGCCGTACTTAGGCCTCGTTTGGACGCTATATCTGGCGAGAATCTGTGGATGACAGAAGCATCAGTGAACCTGCTATCATTATCACTTGTCCACAAAGGCACATGCAGCATGCACACTCCAACACACACCTTACCAGACTAATGTCAGCATACCATCTACCCATACTAACCCAACACACACCTTCCCACACTAATGTCAGCATATTGTGCACCCAAACTAACCCAGGCACATACTAGGTTCATGCATTGTTATACAGCGAAATTGATGATAACCATGAGCATTGTATACTAGGAAGTGTTTACAGCAGTTCACCCTTTGTAAGGGAGATGTTAGTACATACATTTACTTCATGAACTGTGAAGGGTTAAATTATTCACCCCTACTTATCTAAACTGGACTTGCCCAGTCTTTGATTTTGGTAAGGTTCAAATGTGACTTTAGGGGTGAATGGATTAAATGACCACTGGGCAAATATGAAATTATTTTGAAGTAGAATTATTCCCCAATAGAAAGCACCCGTGTTCAATTTTGTCAGTAACAAGAGGCCCAATGGACTGAATCGCTAACCTCACACTGAAAGGTGGACTGAAATACAGCTACAGGGAAAAGATCAGTTTTTGATTCAAAAGAATCTATTAAAAGATTGAAACATATGACCCCTGTCACATTGAATATAATCATTCATTTGAACCAAAATGGTAGCCCTTCATCCAAGCATGCTACAGGCTAAGTCGTTTAATGTAAAGAGTTGCACTTTGGTCAGGTGAGCTAAAAACATTTAAGTGAACCCCTGAAAACAAGTTATTTATAGACCATCAGATCATCACAGACATCAACCCATCACCCCTGAAATTTCATAAAGAACTATTCCATCTTTGAATTGGAAGGGTTCAAACGTGTCTTCAGGGGTGAATGAGTTAAAAGATGTTATTGAAGTCATGGGGTGTGTGTGTGAATAAGTTAGGTTTCACTATATATATAATTACAACATTGAGTGTGACCACTCCCCTCTGTATGATATCACATCAGTAATAAAACAATCTATCATGCAATAAGCACATCAAAGTTAAGAGCTAACAATGTGTTATTTTTACATCCTTTAACTAACAGTAAGACTGAAACATAATGTCTTTTTCATTTTAAGCGTAAACTAAAAAGTCATTTCTATACATCGTTATTTCTGAATGTTCAGTAGGGGGGTTTACATACCTTATATTTCACACAATGCATATATGTTCAGATTAATTTGCAAAGAGAGAGAATTGGTAATTTATATATATTACGAATATGTAAAATAAGGAAGACAAAGCTGTCACTGTTCCTATGATGACTTCAAGTCCCGGTTAAAATGTTGTTGGAAAACAATCATGCAAATAAGCATATAAAGTACTTTAACCATTTCACCCCTAAAAAACTTAAGTAGACTCTACCATGCATTCATCTGGATGAGTCAATTATGGTCTACAGTGGTGAAAGGGTTAAAGTTACAATAAACCTTGTCGTGTAACAAATTCATCCATCACCCTAGTCCAGCCACCTAGTGCTAATTTCATCCCTCCACAGTAAAACACTATATCTTATACACTGAATACAGTTAAGCTATATATATATTGACAATCATTCTCATGATGCCTTTGCAATTATTACTGACAGTGAAAACTGGAAAATACAACACTTCCTAGAATATAATACATTAAGTAACATATTATTTCCATTAGCTGGTGACCAGAGCTGAAATCCTTTATTAGTCTGATGTACAGTATCTTGTTGCGACTGAATGCATCCCTGATTTTACATTCCCGCACAAGAGCAATGATTGCCCTTCTCAGATTTTCAACAGGTTTGGCTATTAATGAAATGAATATAGGAATCCTTGTAAAAAAGTAGGCACTTTAATAACATTCCACACTTGATACCGCTGATTAAAACATGTAAATTGATTAAAATTGAAGTGAAGCACGGATACTATCTGAATATTGATTTTTAACATTTTCACCAGCTTCTCATACCCCTGTACCCTAATTAAATAATTAGCCTTTGTCTCCCTAACCCCCTCCCAAGCCCCAATTTACCCTACACCTCTTTTACTTTTGCCCATCCTCCTGGTAACATCCCCCCTCCACCTTCTTCAGCGTACATCATACACTTTATCATTATCTTCCTCTCCCCTTTTTACCCAACATCTTACACTTTTCCACCTCTGTCCCCTCCCCCCTTACCCTTCATCTAAGATTCCTGTTTCTCCCCTAAACAACCTGTGTGACCCCTGCCAATGACCTTGAGAGGTCAGCTGAGATACTTACTTGTCAGCTACTGCCCTTGCTTTTAGTAGTGCTGCTGTGTAACATATAGTGGCGGATTTAGGTAAACTGATATCTGTAAGGGAAAAAGATACAAAGGATCAGTCATCCAATATCCTCCCGACAAATTAACACAACTCACAATAGTTTGTTAATCACCTGAACTGATTAAGGATATGTGACATGTTACAAATCATACTTGTGTTTAGTGTTACAGATATCTCTTTAAGGGTGTATCCTACCTTATATGTTATACCTGTGGTTAGTGTTACAGATATCTCTTTAAGGGTGTATCCTACCTTATATATTATACCTGTGATAAGTGCTGAAGATATCTCTTTAAGGGTGTATCCTACCTTATATGTTATACCTGTGGTTTGTGTAAGGGATATCTCTTTAAGGGTGTATCCTACCTTATATATTATACCTGTGATTAGTGCTACAGATATCTCTTTAAGGGTGTATCCTCCCTTATATATTATACCTGTGATTAGTGCTACAGATATCTCTTTAAGGGTGTATCCTATCTGATATATATTATTTGTGGTTAGTGTTACAGATATCTCTTTAAGGGTGTATCCTGCCTTATATATTATACCTGTGATAAGTGCTGAAGATATCTCTTTAAGGGGGTATCCTACCTTATATGTTATACCTGTGGGTTGTGTAAGGGATATCTCTTTAAGGGTGTATCCTGCCTTATATATTATACCTGTGATAAGTGCTCAAGATATCTCTTTAAGGGTGTATCCTACCTTATATGTTATACATGTGGTTAGTGTTACAGATATCTCTTTAATGGTGTATCCTACCTTATATGTTATACATGTGATTAGTGTCACAGATATCTCTTGAAGGGTGTATCCTGCCTTATATGTTATACATGTGATTAATGTTACAAATATCTCTTTAAGGGTGTATCCTATCTGATATATATTATTTGTGGTTAGTGTTACAGATATCTCTTTAATGGTGTATCCTACCTTATATGTTATACATGTGGTTAGTGTTACAGATATCTCTTTAAGGGTGTATCCTACCCTATATATTATACCTGTAATTATAAATATGCAGAAGATCGGTGTTGGGGTGTTATATATTATACCTGTGATTAGCGTTACAGATATCTCTTTAAGGGTGTATCCTCCCTTATATATTATACCTGTGATTAGTGCTACAGATATCTCTTTAAGGGTGTATCCTCCCTTATATATTATACCTGTGATTAGTGCTACAGATATCTCTTTAAGGGTGTATCCTCCCTTATATATTATACCTGTGATTAGTGCTACAGATATCTCTTTAAGGGTGTATCCTCCCTTATATATTATACCTGTGATTAGTGCTACAGATATCTCTTTAAGGGTGTATCCTACCGTATATGTTATACCTGTGATAAGTGCTGGAGATATCTCTTTAAGGGTGTATCCTACCGTATATGTTATACCTGTGATAAGTGCTGGAAATGTCTCTTTAAGGTTGTATCCTATCTGATATATATTATACCTGTGGTTAGTGGTACAGATATCTCTTTAAGGGTGTATCCTACCTTATATATTATACCTGTGATTAGTGTCACAGATATTTCTTTAAGGGTGTATCCTACCCTATATATTATACCTGTAATTATAAATATGCAGAAGATCGGTGTTGGGGTTTTCTGCCTTTAGGCCTGTATAAAGTAGTTAATGGTGAGACGCTCTGCTTTCAGGCGCCTGTATACAGTCGATTTGGGGCTGTCTACTTCAAGGCCTGTATACAGTAGATAAGTGTTGGGGCTCTCTACCTTAAAATCCCGTTAACTTAATGGTGCTTATAAAAACCAGGCTCCAGATGTTATTGATCCGTTCATTCAGCCTTCGTGTACCTTTTATATGTATCATCTCTCTGGATCAACCATTTCTGCATTACCATTTATAAAAGATATTTCATGTTTTCCTTAACTTGGAACTCTTTTTTGCAAAGGAGATAAACATCACAGGAATGTATCTCTTTTGTAAAAGAGATAAATATCACAGGTAGCATACAATATACATTGATATGTTCCATTTCAGACTGTTTAATAATTCAAATGTGATTTAATATCTGTACACACTTCTTTGCATAAACTCCTAGGCCTGTATTCATGAAACCCTTCCCATGCTCAAGCATGGATTCTGTGCTCAAACCAACTTTCTTGTTACTCACTTAAATCATGTCAAACGATCAAAATGTCAAATGTAAACATTGAAAACAGTATTCGGGTTCAAGTCTCTTTAAAAAAAATCCAAATCTGTTGCAAAACAAGATTTGTTTATGAATTTATAATCAGACCAAGAAATTAAGCTTGAGCACAAAATCCATGCTTGAGCATGAGAACGGTTTCATGAATACGGGCCCTGGTATTGATGTTATCATCAGAAAAAGATCTTGCTCGTTTTTTCAATAACCTAACTTGTCTGTTACCCTGACAGTGTCATTAAGTGTAAAGCAAGATAATTTTTTGAGGCAAATTTTCGTTTCAAAAGAGCCGCCGCGCCATTGAGGTCAAGAAAATTCTATGAAAATGTGGAAACGCATGAACCATGGAAGGAAATAATGCTTGTGACCTATAGTTTGTCACGGGACTGTAGATCAGAAACAATTAAAGTGGCAGGAATTGGGTATTATTAATACATACTTCCCAACTCTCCCTTTTTGGAGGGAAACTCCCAATTTCGGACCCAAAAATTGAGAATTTTCAACCAGTGCATTAGGTAAACTATTCCTATTTTCTAAGACATGATGAATTCATCTGAAAGATTAGCTCAACAGAAGACATTTTTAATGGTGAATGTACACACATATTTAATTTAACTTTGAGCACACATACTCTCCCCTATGGAAATTTTAAAAAGTTGGCAGATATGTTAATACAAATTACTGACAGCAGTTCATTTTTTTTATTCTGTTATCCAGGTTTCTTTACATTTTAATTAAAAAAAATATTTTTAATTTTTTTGCAATTCTATAATGAAATATTTTCATATCAAATGTTCATGGTATTGGCCTAACACATCAGATGATCGTGCTTCAACAGTGGAGCCCCAAAAAATCAATATAGCGGTATCTACGTAGCTACTGAAAGAATTGTCCAACAACACTAAGAGAAGCAGAGGAGTAGAAGACAGCAACAACCCTCTGGTGGCCCTGCCAGTTAAGTACAGCATGTAGCTCTGCAGTGAATAATTCATCATTTGTCAAATTATCGTCACCGATGTGCCACAAAATGCAGTATTATTTGCATCACTGAGAATGACATTTAGGATCCCCTTCTTTCCTAATGCTGGCTGAAACACATAACATTTATTGATGTTTTTTTCTTTTTCTTCTTCTGTAAATAAAATCGCCTGAGAAAGATGCAATGCAGCAGTGCAGAGAATAAATAATGGGATTTTGGTGCTCCAATCTATACACAGGGAAATTGTATTCCCGTTTTCCTGTGAAAGGCCTATCAATACATTGCATTAAAGTCTGGGTTTCCATTGAAAAAGGGCAGAATGCAGAAGGATGGTCCAAATGTACAGCTGTTTTTGTATAACTCGATCCCTCTGAGACAGATGACTGTATAGTAATACATGTATATCCAACAAAACATTTATCACTGAGATTCAATTTTCTTTTACAATTGAAGACCAGGTACCTCTATTACCATGTTTTAGCCTGACAATCAAATTATGTGTGTGTTTGTTAGTGGTTTTTCTTTATTCAGAACAAAAGAATCCATATAAGGGCCTCCAAAACCACAAACCATCACACAGTAAAGTCTGTTTGGGTTTAGATTTCTGTCCTAATATTTAGTTCAACAAAGCCTATAGAAGTTTATTGTATTTCTGTCTCCGACATCTGTTTTTGATGTCTCTCACATTGATTTCTATTACATTACATGTATTACAAAAGCCGGTCAGGAATTCAAGCATTTCACAAGTATTTATTCAGCTACATTGAAAACTAACTGCATTCTCTGTGAGATGTGAATACCTCAATACATTTCCTAAATCTTTTTTTTTCAGTATTAGTTGCAGTGACCTAGACCCTTTAGTGACTTAGGATACTGAAACATAAACTCATCTGTATGAGGTATTATAGCACTCAACACCTGTGTGAAAATCTTAGAGTACATGAGGATGCTGAAACAATAACAACTTTCTATTTAAAGCAAAAATGAGCTAGTGACCTTAACCTTGGGCATCGGAGAAGAAAACATCACATCTATCTAGGTATTTATATACTGAATACTTTTACGAATTTTCCTTCTGATCTGCTTAACCCTTTCACCCCTATGTAACTTTAGTAGACTCTACCATGCATTGATGCATGATCTGGATGAGTCCATTATGGTTACAGTGGTGAAAGGGTTAATGATTAGGATGACTGGGTAATGACAAGCATTTTCTATTTAGAGTAAATGAAATTGTTTTTCACACCAGGACTTTGAAATGACAACTCCTTCATGATGTGCAGAACATTTGTATAAGGCTTTGCCAAAACTGGACAGAACATAAACATGGTAGAGAAATGACAGACAATTTCATTTATATTAAGCAACATTGACCTAGTACATAGGATGAATATCTGTTTAAGGTTTTGATGTCATGAAATTTTCATTAAGCTTCATCCAAATCTAATTGAATATGAAGATGTTAGAGTGTGTTGACAATCATTTTAACAGTACCTTTTGTATCAGTACCTTGAAATGAGATATTGTTTGGGGTATAGTAGTACCAAATATTTTCATTTGGTTTCATCCCAATCCAAACAACGAAGAAGGCAGTTGGTTCATGACACCTTGATGTATGGTCTGACTGGGGAAACAGGCCAGGCAGCCATGACACCTGGATGTGCCTGTATGGAGAGATCAGGCAGCCATGACACCTGGATGTGCCTGGATGTGCCTGTATGGGCAGACCAGGCAGCCATGACACCAGGATGTGCCTGTATGGGCAGACTAGGGAAACAGAGCAGGCAGCCATGACACCTGGATGTGCCTGTATGGACAGACCAGGCAGCCATGACACCTGAATGTGCCTGTATGGGCAGACTAGGGAAACAGACCAGGCAGCCATGCCACTAGGATGGCCTGTATGGGCTGACTGGGGAAACAGGCCAGGCAGCCATGCCACCTGGATGAGCCTGTATAGGCAGACTAGGGAAACAGGCCAGGCAGCCACAATACCTAGATGTGCCTGTATGGGCACCCACAGGCAATGGGCGGTGCAGCCATGACAACTGGATGAATTTTTATGAAAACACAAGGGCAATGGGCCAGACAGGACAGGTTACTTGTTAATTTTTTCCCCCTCAAAACAAAAGTAAACTGTTTATCAGGGTGCCCTAGTGTTTAGACTAATCAATACTCACCATCATATTTTGCTAACACAGCCTGGACATCTGCATAGGCCTGTAGTTCTAATAATGCATCTATAAGATTCTCGTGGATGTTGAATAAGTTCAACATAGGAAATTCTTTCATAAGCTGAAAAACATGAAAGTGAAACAGATTTTATAAGCTGAATAAATATGAAACAGACTTAGATGTAAATTTACAGTTGAATATGTATATATGCCATGCGATATATAACCAGAGATAAGCCCACGCTCACTAATAAGCCCACCCCTTGATTAACATATGTTATAAATAATGGGCAGATCTTGAAATATGCACTTTCTGGATCAAGGATTAAATTCTAGTATAACATTAAAACCTATCTTTTATGTAGTGAAGGATTAAGACCCATCAGCTTAAAGCAAATCAATTATGGTAACAGCTAAAACTCGAAGTTATTTTGAAATAAAGGAAGAATTCCACATAATCATTTATTTAGAAAGTCATCACTTGATAATATATATTTGACAAAGATAATGACATTTGTACATTTTAATAAAAAGATTCAGACAAAAAACGATGTTCCAACTTTTCCGTACTTTCATAAAATTATGGAAAACAAAGACCAGCTAGGTAGCACTTTTATTTTGCAAAATGTATTTAAGAACTTAACAGTTCATGTGTTAAAATTTTCCCAAAAATTAAGGTAGCTTGGGAAATCGGAAATACAGATTTTTCATTTTTCATTTTTCATTTTTGGCATTTTCAAACTTCAACATCTGGTCAATGGAATAAAAAACTTAAATGCAAATTCAGCTTCCATTGCTGGATGGAGACCTAATGGTTTCCCCAGAGAGAGGATAATGCAGCACTATGGAGATAAAACATTGGCAAAGTCCAGCATCTGGACCAAAACTATTCGAGTTCTTGGAAGGACATTCCAGGTTTTGATAATGATTTTGACATAAAAACAAGACCTAAATGTCTTGCAAATGCCAACTAGAGAATGCCACATTGGTTGCAGATGAAATAGGAACTGTATAATTATAGATCAATATAAGGCAAGCTGTTCCCCATATTTTAAATATGCTGTTTAACTACACCTGTGTTATTCCATGAGTTTGAGGTGATTTCTGCCGCTCTGTACAGGTATAATAGTGTCACTGTACTTGCACTAAACAACCCCAGGGTTCACAACAAATTTACATGGAAGGATAATATCATAAACATCTGAGCTCAATATACTTAACACTTTGTGTCAGCCGCACACCTAGTACCAGCTTAAAGTATCTACTGTGAAGTAATGTATTAAGTACCACATTTGAAGTAATGAGGGTGCTTGTCTAATATGAGCACTTCCATGGATTTCGAAAATATAACTTATTGGAAATTTTAAATTATGTATATTAGGGCAGTTGACTGAACTCAAGCTGTAGAACAGGAATGTTTTCTGTAGGAGTGTACAATCCCACTAGCCCGACACCCAAAGCGGGTAGATTTTGTGTCAGGGTTAGTGAACATTTTCAATATCAACTATGAAAATATTGGTCAGGCTAGCAGAATTTTTCAAAAATTGCATGAGCTACTTTTTGCAGTTGTGAAGGAGGTAAAAATAATTACACAGCAAAAAGTTTTAACAATCAATTAAGTTCAAATGAACCAGAAAACCTCAAAATTCTGAGATTTTTGTTGGTAAATGGAAAACCACAAACAAAAACTACCTCTGATTGTCCAATGTTATACTGTATTGTGTGTATTTTCTTGAAAACACAGCTAATGAAATGCAGTAATATTCGAAATCTAATTCAAGACCATTCCCACTAAAAAAAATCTCATTCAATACAGATATTGATTCCAAACTTACCTCTCTCATCATCTTGACTGCCTCTCTTGTACGTCCCAGTTTTCTGGCACACATTGCTAATCTGCGCTTTATATACACTATCACATTTGTATCCCGCCCTGTAAAAACCAAACATTAATACATATTTGTAAAAACATCAGCTGCCTTTAAATGACTAACAGAGACTCAAACATGAATCATTACTGGCTGATTATACAGGCAGATTAATCCTCAGGTATTCTAGAATCCTTATAATGCTATATATTCGAGACACCACACACATGTCAGGGTGAAAGATTGATTTTTTGTGAAATATAAAGAATGTGATTGCTTTTTGGTTTTGGTTTTTGTGAGTTTTACATCCTATTAACAGCTATATATGGTCATTTAAAGACGTGTCAGGTTTTGGTGGTGGAGGAAAGCCGGAGTTCCCGGAGAAAAACCACCGACCTACGGCCAATACCTGGTGACTGCCCCACGTAGGCCTCTAACCCGCGACCCAGTGGTGGAGGGGTAGAGGTAGCAGAATGTCCGACGCCTTAACCACTTTTATATTGTGATGTATCAACAGTCCATGATTTTTCCTGTTCATTTCAGGAAATGATATTTCCTTTAGTTTGAGAAAATTTGACAGCAAATTGATATGTTAAAATCCACCGTTTCTTGATATGGAGAATCTATGAAAAAAAATAAGTAAAATCAATTGTCCCTTTTTTTTTTTTTAAATTTAAATTTTATTTTATTTATCAAATTGGAAAAGAGGAAAGTCTCAATCTTATTCGGAATAGAGCCAAAATTCTGTTCCAAACATATCCACAGCAAAACGTCTGTAGTCATTAATTAGCACCTATGGAATCCTACGTGTTACCTGATTCATTGACGTCATCTTGTCTTTTGGACAGAAAAAATGTGTTGACAAGATTTAATATAACAATTCTTGTCATTTATGATCAGTTCTTGATTTTTAAAATAAATGGCAAAGATGATATTTCACGTTGATGTCAAATCATGGGAGAGAAAGGTGGATGCAAAAAAAAACTGCAATGATTCATGTGCCAAGAAAACCGACAGAGGCAGTGGATAAACAAATGCACCCCTCGTTATTAGGGGGGAAAAACAATTTGGAAAGTGCAGTAGCTATTATCTGCAATATCGTATTCTTCAAAAAATAACCCTAATTTTTTTTGAACCCCCCCCCCCCCCCCCCCCCC